GCACAGCCACCAAAATAAGGCAAGTCTGGGAGACTCCCGCAGCCGAGCGGAGCTGAGGGCACATGGTAACGAGACGTCTTGGTGACCCTGCACTGGGCCCTGGGGCAGGAAGAGAACATTAGGCTCAAACCAGGGATTTTGGGTGAAACATTGATTTTAATTAATAGTGACATGTCAACAGTGGCTCATTAACCATAACAAATTACCCACTGAGGTAAAATATTAATAAGGGGAAACTTGTGTGATATATGTGGGAATTCCTTATACTATCTTTGTACGAAGACTGTTGTAAAAAGTAAAGTTTGTTAAAAATATGGTGAATGTTACAAATTAGATTCTATTGAGAGATTTATTCATAGGAGATTTACAAACATAAAAGATGGTTATATTTTGGTTTGTTCCAAATGGTGATAAAATTAGATTTTTATTATACCACATAACATTTTAATTGGGTCTATTTGAAGAGTTTAGTGTAACTTGGTATTTTTAACCAGACTTTTTAAACTATGGAGCAATTTAATTTAAAAAAGATGATAATATGACATTGATTGGGCACTTGTATGAGAGAACAACAAAATATTTGGTTAGCAAATACTCATGTCTCTGTGTCATTGTTGTCATTGTTGGGAATCTGGACAAAAACCAGAGTGGTTCTGGAAGGTTCATAAGTAGATTATGGAGAATTCTGAGTCAATTTCAGGGAGACATTGGATTATGCATCTGTAGTAGCACAAGTCTCCTTCAGGTTTACAGAGTCATCATAAGTCATCTGGCTGTCTTATGTACTTAATTATATGTCACTTTTATATGACATATGATAAATAAGTAGACATGTATTTTATGTTTAATCAGTACAGAAGCTTATAAGTCTGGTGTTTTATCCTAGCAGTATTTTCTGAAATAATTTTTTAAGATAAATGATGGGACTTTGCCTTCTGGACAAGATGGAGTAAAGGGTTAGATTTACCACCAACCCGCCCGCAACTGAAACAACAAATAAATAGACAAAATATATGAAGTAGCAGTTGGTAAAACACTACTAGACAATAAAGGACAGTGACCATTGAGAGTCAGGAAACAAAGGAAATAAGCCCTTGACTTTCCAAGCTTCTTGATTTCAGAGAGTTCCCAGGCAGCAGCGCAAGTGGGGTAGCTTGTGCAGAGCCTATTGGACTTTCTGAATTGCGAAGGCAGAACTGAGAGTCCAAGGGAACAAAGACAGCAAGAGTTTTCAGGTTAGAGTAACAGAGAGGCAAGAGTTGCACTGAGAGAGAACTCGAGATCTGCAAAGGGTCCCACTCAAGTATTTGCCTGCATACCGATCAGCACATACATGTGAGGGAAGCACTTGAAGTCAGACAAAGAACCTGACAGGATGAGGGGCAACAGTGCCTGGGGCTCTCACATGGGGCCGGAAGTAGTGCTCGTTCTCCCGGCCAAACTGAAAAGCCGCAAGATGCGTGGACCTCTGTGCAGAATACACAGGGGTCTTGCCTTGTAGTTGGAAATAATTAGACCTAGATTGAGCACTGTTCTGAAAGATCTGAAAGGATCAAATTTTTTTCCAGATAACTGTGTCCCAGAACAAATTTCTAAAATATAAAACTATCCATTACTTAGGTAGGTAAAATACGCAGTGTCTGGCATCCAATAAAAAAATTACCAGGCATCAAAAAGAAGCAGGAGAAAAACCCATAATGAAGATATAAATCAATAAGTAAATCAGAAGTGACCCCATATAGCCCTGGCTGGTGTAGCTCAGTGGATTGAGCACGGGCCTGCAAACCAAAGAATCGAGGTTCGATTTCCAGTCAGGGCACATGTCTGGGTTGCAGGCCAGTTCCCCCAGCAGGGGATGCATGAGTGGCAACCATACGTTGATATTTCTCTCCTTCTTTCTTTCCCTTCTCCTCTAAATATAAATAAATACAATCTTTTTAAAAAAGTGACCCCATATATGTGTGACTGAAGTATCTGAAAAAGGCAAAGGACACAAAAAGTATTTTAAAATAGATTCTGCTTCTTCAGAAATTTGTATCTTCATATGGTTTATACACATTCAATATTACTACATTCATAGTGGATGAACTAACAGAATGTTCCAACAGAATTCCAGGTTCTAAAAGGATTGCTATAAGAAACATCTTTCCCTTTGGAAGTTGTAAAAAAATTCTGTCTTCTTCTTTTTGTTGTTCTAGAGTGGTTGAGCTACATGACTATGCTAAGCCTGGGTCATTTGAGATGGGAACTTAAATTATTTTGTTAAACATTTTTGTTAAAATGAAGCTATTGTCTTCTTTTACCTGATAGTTATGTTTAGTTCGATAAGGTCACATAATGGAGACTAATTTGATGAAGTCAGTTAAAGAGAGATTTCCTCAGGATCCTTGTGAGAAGTAGCCTTTGAAGCCAAGAGTTCACTTAAGGCAATCTGAAGATCTTGCCATCTTAGGAAAAGGTTGATGTAAAAGAGTATGCAAGGTCAAAGATAAATTAGATGGTCAATAATATACAACCGAAAATTGTAAATAAGAATGCAGTTAAAACATTGCATGAAGGTATTAGGTTGGCCAAAAATTTCATTTTGTTTTTTCCATAAGATGGCTCTAGTAGTGCTTAGTTGTCCTGAACTTCATTTGAAACAATTTTGTTAGTGTATTGTGACAGCTGTCATATCAGTGTGTATTTAAAAAAACATGAAAATTGGTGAATTTTTGTGTAGCTATTCTAATATTGATGATGGAAGAAGATATGCAACAATTTTGGAGTATTAGGCTTTATTATTTCAAGAAAGGTAAAAACTCAACTGAAATGCAAAAAAAAGATTTGTGCAGTGTATGGAGAAGTCATTTGTGCTATTACTGATTTAATGTGTCAAAAGTGGTTTGCAAAGTTTCTTGGTACTATTGACATTTTGTTCAAATAATTCTCTTCTGTGGTGCTGTCTTATGCATTGGACAATGTTTAGCAGCACCCCTGGACTCCAACCACTAGAAGCCAATAGCAGGATATAGCCGACATACTCAAAATATCCAAATCAATAAAGTTATTGGTGAAAATGAAAAATGTATCTTTTATTTTATGGAAAAAACTAAATGGACTTTTTGGCCAACCCATTACTTCAGGAAGTAAGGTGCTGGCAGTTGTGCAACAACCTAAAACTGAAGGTGTCACACTGTTTAGCTAGAACATGTTTCTGTGACCCAGCTACAAGTGGCAGTTTCTACTCAGATGCCCTATCAGAGTGTTCTCTGTGGAGAAAGAAGGGGACAGAGATCAACATTGTGTTTAAAGTGATGGGAGTAGCAGCTTATCCATTATTTTTACTGAATTAACCTCAAGAAAAGAAAGGTTTTTTGAATAATCTGATGTCAAAAAGAAGAATAGGAAATTGATCAATGGTGCCGTCAATTTACAAGTGCTGCCAGGGAATCAGAATCGTCCATTGAGTCATAAGGAAATGGTTTAGTAGATGGATCTACCAGACCTGTTGTTGAACAGATTTGGGCCAAATTCATATCTAGGAGGGAGTTTCATGGACGGAGAATCCTCTGATGACAAGTTTCAACTCATTTGAGCAGACCGAGGCACGGCATCACACACAATGCCGCAAGGTGGACTCTGCCCGGGGAGCAGATCCTCCCTGCAGAGAAGTGGGAGGAGCAGAGAGGATGTGCACAGAGTGTGAACCTTCTTCACCTCATGGTCAGTGGTGCAGCAGGAACTTTGAAGTACACGGAAGGTTATTTTGTGTGCTAAGTGGGGAATGTACTAGGAGATCTAAAAGCCCAGAGATATTTTTCTTCCAGCATGTAAAAGCAGGAGACTTTGGTGTGGCCTTCACAAAAGTCATTCCAAGCAATACACACTGGACTCATTCTCTTCTCACAAGAGAAGAGAATGCCAACAGATTCTGCCAGAGGGTGCACATCTCTGGAACACTTTACAGTTTACTGGGACACTTGCAAGGATCTGAGTATTGTGAAAGGCTATTATATGTTAACCTGTTGAGGTAATGCACTTATTATAAATGAGTTTCAACTATAAAATAATGTCTTTCACCTTGGGACACACTTCTCAGAAGCTCGATTATTCTTTTGTACTTTAAGCCTATTCACATCCATATGGCTGGCTATAATTTTGCTGGTTCTGGTTTAGCCATTTTGAACAGAAACAGCCTAAGTTGAAGAACAGTCACATCCCTGAATCCCACAGGAAAAGGTGTCTAATAAAAGGCAAGAATACCCAGCAATTAATAAGAAAGAATTCATCCAGCAACCATCTGCTTCAGCTGCTGCAAAAAGTGAAATTTTCCAAAATTCTGATAATGGTAATTTTGGCCTATGGACAAAGATAATTGACCAAGAAGAAAAATTGCAAAACTAAAGTAGAAGCTATGCTTTATTTCTCAGAAAAGAGGGGTTAAGGGTGGCAAAAAGGAAGCAGGGGCATACCTGTCTATCTTTAACTAGGCTCATATAAAGAATACAAAAGTGAACCTAAAAAATCAAAGTACTTATCTTTAAGCATTTTTGGCATATTTGATAATAAAATAAAATGAAAACAAAATGTCTTGCCCTGACTTGTGTGGCTCAGTTACTTGGGTGTTGTCCCACAAAGAGAAAGGTCGTCAGTTTGATTCCCAGTCAGGACACCAACCTGGGTTGCAGGTTGGGTCCCTGGTAGGGGGTGTACAAGAGGCATCTGGTCTATGTTTCCCTCTCACATCAGTGCTTCTCTCCCTCTCTTTATCTTTCCCTTCCCCTCTCTCTAAAATAAATAAATAAAATCTTAAAAAAAAAAAAACAAGGTGTGTCAATCCAAATAAGGCGCAGGATTATTTTTATGTGCATTCTGTACAAGTTTTCTTGAAATCAAGATATAAAAATATTGTCTCAACAAAACAAAAAAGAATTACTATTACATAGTAAACAAGGGTTGGACACAAATTTTTGATGTGTTTTAGGCACATTTTGTGGTTTTACGCTTATTTTTTCTAGTGGTTTGGAAGGCAGTGTGATAGTTCAGTGATCACGGAGCAGGCGCTGGAGTCTGCCTGGTGTGGGACTTGGGTGTGGCACCTGGCCCACTGTCTTCTCGCAGTGGGGGTTTGAGCCTCAATTTCCTTATCTGCAAAATTAAATAATAACGAGACATATCTCACATAGGATTAATCAATATGCATGGCCATTATTATTATTATTATTAATAAACATTAGTATTTTGTTTCTTCCATTGTAGATAATATTAAAAATTATTAAGAGAATTAGATGCCATGAATTCTGTTATTGCTCAGCTTGCTCAAGAAGGTAAATTGGTATCCTGTATGTGTTTTTAAAAATGGGACTGGTGTATTTTTCACATTTTATTATATTACCTGTTGAAAATACCCAGTATGGAATAACAATTGTAAATTGTCATTAAAATCTCTCAAACCAAGGTGGGTTCCACCCAAGGTAACATTTGTAGTGCTTTGGCTTATAAAACATGCTTCAAAGTAGTGGTTGAATAGGCATTTAGCATAGTTGTGTTATTTATTTTTGATATGCAGAAGAAGTAGTTATCCATGAGTTTGCTAGTCTTTGCCTAGCGAACATGTCTGCAGAGTCCACCAGCAAAGTGCAAATACTTGAACATGGTGGGTTAAAGCCTCTGATCAGACTGCTGAGCAGCCTAGAACCCGATGTGAAAAAGAATTCTGTTGAGTGCGTTTATCACTTGGTCCAGGTAAGATTAATTCCTAAATATGTGTTCTGACCAAAGATGGTGATAGAATTTGCTTTCCCATTAAAAAAATAAAAACAAAAAGTTTAAAACTCACCAGCTTTGATTAATCAATTCTTTTTGGTACTGTTTAGTACTGGTCTTTAGTATTGATCTTATCTTATAAAATAAAGGAAGTTTAGTGTAAGTTTTTTTCAGTTTGCACAGTTTATAAGTATTTGTTTCCTATGAAAGGACATTTTAGAAGTATTTAAATTTTAAAAGAATAGAGGGCTTACAAATTAAAGTGGGATTATTCTAGATAAAATGTATTTCTTGTGAAACAGGAAGTCTAATCTAACCCTAGTTCAATGTGATTGAACGAGGGTTAACCTGGACAATTACCTATTGCTCTAACCTTGTGATCTAAGTACATTGGATATAATATATGCCCTGGTCAGGGTACCAAGATTTTGGAACAGGCTTGTGTATTAGGGAAAGCCTAGTGAGCTGAGTACGCTGAACAGAACTCATTGTTCACAACTGCAAGACATGATCTCACTGTGCTGCTTTCTTTTTTAATGGAAACTGAACACCTTCTCCTCTCCAACCTGTGATGTCTTTCCTGGTCCCCCACCACTGCCCCACCTCCCAACCCAGCATTCATACCCTCACAGCCACAGCAGGTCAGCTCCCTGACACAAGGAACAGGAGTCTCTGCCTCTTTTTCTACTCAGGTTCCTGAACAGTTTCCATGCACACTTGATCGACTTTACCTCTTTTGAAAATACAAAAACACCGCTGTAAGTAGCCAGCAGTAGAGTGTGAAAGGAAGAGATGGCAAAGTAAAGGTGGGAGAGGGGACATTGAGAGGCAAACTGTCCAGACAAACAATAGAGAGAAGGGCCCAACAGGCTCATGCCAAAGGCAGCAAAAGCTTACATTCCTGGCCTTAGCAGTCCTTGCCACTTGGCTGGACACCGACTGGTTTTACCTTGACTCCTCCCACAAAAGGCATCCCCAAGAAGCAGCTCAGCTTCCTTTCTCTTCTCTGGGTACTTAAGTCTTACCCTCATCTGATAGGCCAAAATAATCCTCCAAGCACGTTTGTGTTTTACATCCCAAAACTCTTTACAGCTCTATTTCCCTATTTTTTATCAAACAGAAATGAAAAGACTTTACCCCCACTATTCTCCACAACAGAAGTACTAGTTAATAAAAGTGCATTAATTTCCCAGGACAACCAAGTGGGTGGCTTCAAACACAGGAAATTATTCTCTAGCAGCTGTGGAGGCTGGAAGTCTGACATCAGGGCGTCAGCAGGGCCATGCTCCCCAAGGGACTCTGAATAGAACGTTTCTTGCCTCTTCTCAGCCCCTGAAGGTGGCCGTCACTCCTTGGGATCACTTGGTTTGCAGCTGCAGCACAGCAATGTCTCCCTCTGCCATTTCTCTCTCTTTATGGAGACACCAATTTTATAAGGACACCATTGAGTATCTACCCTACTCCACTGTGACCTTACATCTGCAATGACCCTGTTTCCAAATAAGGTCACACTTTGAGGCACTGAGGGTTCAGGCTTCAACCTACATTTTAGGAAGATACAATTCAATCCAAAACAAACAGAAACTAAAATTTTTATGTCTGAAGGAAGCTGAATGCTAGCAGTTGAAGGATGGATAGAGGAAAGTTAGGATGGAAATGGGACCTTTTCCACCTTTAATACTACTTTACATTTACCATGTTTTCATTTAAAATGTCAGGTTTTGGGAGGTTTTCATGGCATTTTGTTTTTTTTCTCCATTGCTCAGTACAACTAACCTCCCCCCACAACCCACACATGTGAAATTGCAGACACACGCTGCAGAGCAATTTGTCTAGACTCTAATGACCTCTTGATGTTGTAAATGTCTTAAATAAAGGTCATGTGTCTAAACTGAGCCTGATGTGCATTTCCATGCACAGGGCCTGCTAATAGCACCGTGTGCTTAGAAGCGTTTCCTAAACAGTCCATCTGAATGAAGATAATAAGGAATCCATGCCATCAACTCATTTTATCAAATACTATTTGAAACAGGACAGAGAGTGTGAAAAGAATTTCATTATGCATAGCTTTTGTTGTAACAACATTTATAGTAATAAGAATCTGCTGTATAATAAAGAAACAATAGATACTGAAAAAGTCATAGGTCATGTTTATTTTCTATTATTGACAATGTCTGCATAGTTAAAATGAATATTTTGGTGTTGTCAATTGAGAATTTGCTTACCTTTATTTGTGAGTTATTTTGGAAAGGACTATATAATAAAAGATTTGTAAATTATAACTTAGAATATTCTTTGTTAGAAAATAGTTCTCCATTCTAGAAACTATATTTTGCTTTAAAAATTGCTTATTTGATCATTTGTATTTCAAGGCAGGATTTTCAGTGTTGAGCTATGGGTTCAAGAACTGAATGAAATCCCCTCTATACTAGAGCTCTTGAAGTCAGAATATCCAGTGATTCAGTTGTTGGCTCTCAAAACCTTAGATGTTATTACAAATGACAAGGGTTCACAAGCAATGGTAAGAGACAGTCAAGGAATGGACCACCTTATTAAGATCCTGGAAACTAAGGTATTTATAACATTTATTCAACTATCTATTAGAAATGTATCTCTCTTAAACATTGTTATAAAATGTGAATTGTAGAATATTTTTAAAATAAAATTTTATTGCGTTTAAGCATGGTACTAAGTATAGAGGACTAATTTGCTTGTCACTACCATAGTTTATCAGCATGATTAAATCAGACTAATGATAAAGGCCATTATAAAATAATTTTTAAAATCTTCTGGAAGGTTTCTCAAAAAATTAAAAATAGAGCTACCATGTGACTCAGCAGTTCCACTTCTGGGTATTTATAGGGAACCAATCCACTTGGAGTGGTAAATGTAGCCCAGCCCTATTGGAAAACCGACAGGCATGAGTAGGCACACAGGAGCCAAACCCATGGATTGGTTTTCCTGTGGGAAACCAGGCCTGCATTATAGGCAGGCTGCTGTGAGGCTTGCTTTTGCTAAAACTTCCTTACCCTGAGTTGAAGCAGAAAATGTTTACTGCATATTTTTAAAGTAACTTCCTGAAGTCTGTTCTAATTCTCCCAAGGACGGAGTGTAACCAGACCAATCACTCATTATCATTTCCTTGCATTTGCAACATTTTTCCTTGTTAATACGTAAGAACTAATGGTAACATCCTTTCCTTTGTTACCTGTAAAAAGTAATCACCTAAAGCAAACCTGAACATAATGAATGAAAACCTTCTTTGATGTATGCTGTTAGAAAGCAATAATAGCCTGTCCAGGAAGGGGTCAGGGCGCTCTCTCTCTCAGAGAGTGGCCATACCGTCCCTTTTTCTCCACAGGACTTCTGTAGTCTGTGTGAATTTGTTCGTCGTATCCACAATACCATGGACCCTGATGGCCAGAGTCCACATCAGGTATTTATTTAAAGAAAATGAAAACATTAACTCAAAAAGATATACGTATACCTATGTTAATTATATATATGCATATGTAATTATATTTATATATGCTATGGAATATTATTCAGCCATAAAATAAGAATGAAATATTATCTTTTGCAACAACATAATTGGACCTGGAAGGTATTATGCTGTTTGAAATAAATCAGACAGATAAAGACAAATACATATGATCTCACTTACACCAGGACTCCATTGAAAAAATAAGAAAACTAAGTTCACACAGAAAACAGAATGGCAGAGGTGGGGTTGGGCAATATGGATGAAGGGGTTCAAAAGATACACATTTTCAGTTATAAAATTAATACACCATGGGAATATAATGTATATCATGGTGACTATAGTTAATAATACTGTATTGCATATTTGAAAGTGGCTAAGAGAATAGATCTTAAAAGATATAATCACAAGAAAAAAGTTTGTAATGGTGTAAGACAATGAATGTTAACTAGACTTACTGTGGTGATATTTGCAATACACTTGAAATGAATGTAAAAATGCTAATATGTCAAGTATACCTTAATTAAAATCTGGTGTAGAAGATTTAAGATTTTTAAGTTATTCTTTATGATCTTCATGAATTCCTGAAATGGCTGAAATTAGTCTTTTAATCTTGGCCTGCCAAAGTTTTCTCTAGGGTAAAGCCAGAAGAATAATATATTCCACATTATGGAGGGTAATCTTGCTTTACTCAGTCTACTGATTTAAATATTAATTTCACCTAAATAATTAAATTTTTTAGATCTAGAATAATGTTTTGTCAAACATCTGTATAATGTGACCTCGCCAAGTTAAGACACAAATTAACCCTCACAGGTATGCTCCTGCCAAATTGGCACCAACATACATCTTCTTAAATTGTGCTTCATCTCCAGACAATAGCAGGGTCCTACTGCTGCCTAAAATGATGCGGACATCCTGTGTACAAGTGAAAATCCTCCAACACTTTGCTCAGAATAGGATGCAAAGTCCTTGGATGATGTTTACTCTTCTCCTTGATATGCTATAGCTTAAATACTATGATGTAAAATTAACAATACTTAAATACTAGTTCATAAAGTCATACCTCTTATGTCATGTAAGAGAATAAGAGAGGGGAGAAATTAAAGATGTTGCATGTACACACATATACATAACAAAATAAGGAAGAAATATTCATGACAACTACAGCCTCTTTTCTACAACTGGTCATGTGGTCATAGTTGGTATTGAGAACCACCTTCTTCCAATACTCCTTCCATCTTCCCTTTGCCCTCAGCAAGTACCTTGGCTCATCTCAGTTCTTTGCCTGGTGGAGTGACAACCCACATGTCATTCCTGAAGGGTCTGGCTATTAGTGGTCTTCCTGGGTTGGGTTACTGAACTTTCCATCAACTTTCATCACAAGGCATGATAATACTAGGAGACACCCTAAGGGATCTCCTGCTCTCTAGATAAACTCTTTCTCACCTCTGCTGTGGAGCAGCAGTCCATTCCCCTTGGTAGTAGGAATCAATCACCCAGCTAGTGCAGAAATTCGCTTTGCCTGTTTATTTAGAGGCATAAGGAGCCCAAAGCAGCCAGGTGACAATCTTTTCTTTCTGCATCTCCTGGTGGATACACTTCTCTCTTTAGAACTAAGACCTCTAGATCACCAGAGCATAAGGTAATGGAGATAGGAAACAAAAATTGTGTTAGTGTGTCACTAGAGATAATAATAACGTGGTGTCACTCCCATTTCCACCCCTTGACTCCTGGGCCCATGAACCTTGGCTGTCAGAGAAACAGCATCATAGATTAGATGCTGATTCAGAACCTATATAGCTTCCTGGAGAAGCTGGCCCCAGACCTACAAGATACTGCCACCTAGTTGGCCCTGTAACTGAATCGTAAAAAGGCCATTCTATTAAGCCAGCTGCTTTAGGATGATGGGGGTCAAGGTAAGGCCAGTGAACCCTGTGAGTAGGGGCCCACTGCCACACTTCTTTTGCTGTGAAGGGCACTTGACCAGAAGCAATGCCGTGTGGAATACCATGATGGTAGCATAGCCTTCCTGTGTTTCTCTCACTTTGAGGATCCCCACCTTAAATTTCAAGGCTGCAGTTTTCTACTGCTATGGGGTTTGGGAGATTCTGCAGGCAAGAAAGCCACACACTCACAATACTTCCCTCTACCAACTACAGATTTTAAGGAAAATATACTTTCTTCTGTCTGCTTTTTCAAAAAATATTTTCTTCAGATTTTAAAATTGTTGTCAGTGGGAGGTTGTATGAGCACCTTCACTTGGATACCATTGCTGGAAGTTTTCAGTAATTATTTTTATCTATAAAACACTTTGGACTAGGGGAAATGAGAAAAGATGGGGCAAATGGTTAGGGAGAGTGACGTTATGTTAATAAACAGAAATGTTTCCTTGGGCTTCTGTCCCAACGAAGTGGATTACATTATCTACTGAATGACCTTAGTCCATTTGTAAATTTGGAATGTATAAATTTCTTTTAGTACAACTTTCTAAAGCTGTGTTTCCTTTTATTATTAGGAATTGAATGACCTTCATATAGAAGCACTTTCAGTGATAGCCAGTTGTCTTGTAGATCGGATACTATGATGCTGATTCAACAGACAGGGTTCTTAAGGAGCTCTTAGCATTTGCAGAAAACTCTACAGTTTCTGATATTCAGAAGAATGCACCAAAAGCAGTTACTGAAGCAGCTTATGATCACATGTCTCAATTTATATAGACTAAGCATACTGTATTCTTGATTTTGATTAGTTCTGGCAAACATGAGAGTATTTGTTTTTAAATGATCATTTGAGAATAGTGCTACACTTACTGTGTAAGCCCAAAATTCATCTCAATGCCAGTGAGTTAGAGATTGCTTTGTCAAGGATGTAATAAACTGAATATGATTTAATTATAACACTATCTTTTTCAAGTGATTCAACCCTAAATTAAGTTTTAAGCCTTTATTTCTCTTGATTTTTGTAATTATGCAGAATGTACACATTGCTTATGATTCTGAAAACATTGTATCAGTAAATCCACATTTGGAATGATATCTGCATAGTCATTTCAAACTCCAGCTGGAGTCAGTGCCATGCTATGGAGCTGTGAGAAATAATACGCTCCAACTGTGTACGTGGTAGAACTTCATTTCAGTGGCAAGCTGGGTTGACATAAATCTATAAAATATGAGAGATTAAGTATACCACAAGCACTGATAAAATTACAGTTTTAATTTGTGTATACTTGGAACATATGATTTAGTAAAAGATTTTGACTTTATTTCCCCCTTCCACATCACTCCTCATAAATGATAACAACTTTGACTAGTTTAAGGGATTTATATTCTAAACATGTATACACATATCTGTATTCATGTCTGTGTGTATATTATGGGAAACATTTCATTTTCAACCCATACTAGATTTCTCCAAGACAAAGTTTTAATACTATAAGCCAAACTTCACTGTCCAGTACATAGCTGGTATAGAGTGGATTTTTGAGTTACATTTTATGTGCCATATCTAAAAATAGGCTATACAATTAAGGTTTCTAATATTGGCAAAAGCTGGCTGATTCAGTATTCTGTCCAGTGGAGCTGGACCTTATCATATCTGGTCAGTTCTGTGTTCTATCTGTCACAGACAGCAACTATTTGAGACCCGAAGACAGGGCAGTGGGAAGACAGGGACAATGTCACTCCTAAAGTTTTCACGTATCTCAACTTCTCTTTGGATTGGTGTGGCTGGGCCAGTCAAAGATTGTTTCGGCCCCTCTTGGGGTGGTGAGTTTCATGAGTCTGTCACCCATCCTGGTATTTTAGTTCTACTACTAATTCCGTTGCCGGCACTGCACTAACCTCGGTGTGTCACTGTGAGTGAACTACAGCCTCTCTGGACCTAATTATTGACTTATTTATTAGTGATTATTGAGCCATCCCTTGGTGTCAATAAGGCTGGAACAGGCGAGTAAACAGGCAATCGCAATGCAATGTTAAATGTGATGCTGGAAGAACAAGGTTGCTCAGGAGGGTCACCTGATGCAGACTTGGATCACATAAGCCTTCCTGAAGTAGGAGGGACCTGTCCAGGCTAGAAGCTAGAGTAGGTAATAGACAGTGGCTGGGCAAAGGAGCTCCTGGTGGAAGGGGGGAGGATCAGCAGTGCTCTAAGGTGCAGGAACGGTGTGTGTAGAGGTCAGAGAGGGGCAGAGCAGGGTAAGTTGCAGAACTGAAAGTTTTCAGAATGGTTAGTGAGTAGAATGCAGCAGAAAACTGAGAGTTAAGGTTGTAGAAGTAATGAAAAGTCAAATGTTAATGAGCATTGTAAACCAAGTTGAAGACTTTGAACTTTATATTGATAGGAACAAAATGCCTTGAACTGACTTAGAGAGAAGAGAGGTCATTACAGATTTTCACTTTTGAAAGAAAGAGTGCTCTTGTCGCAAAGTGGAAAAGAGCTTGGAACTGTGCAAGGCCAGCCAAAAAAAACCCCCCAAAAACCGGGAAGGGGATTGCTGGGGTGACCTAGGTGAGCAGTGAGGGTGTCCTGAAGTAGAGATGTGGTGCTGGGGATTGACTCAGAGCAAGGAGAATCACCAGCGCAGTGCCTGGCACACTGGGAGGTCTGTAATTGTTTGTTGAGTGACTACATGCACTGGGGGAGGGAGTAGATGGTGTCCAGAACATGACCAGGTTACTGGCCTGGAAAGCAAGAAGTAGAATGGTGCCACTCACAGAAATGGGAACTTTGAGAAGAGAAGCAGGTTTTGATTAAAGGACAGAAAATGAATTTTATTCTTTTTAATTTTTTAGAAAGACAGAAAGGGAGGGAGAAAGAGAGGGAGAGAAACATTGATGTATGAGAGAAATATCAATCATCTGTCTCCTGCATGCCCCCAACTGGCTTGCAACCCAGGCATGCACCCCAACTGGGAATAAAACTGGCAACCTTTGGGTCTGTGCAGTCTGGTGCCCAACTTGCTTAAGCCACACCAGCCAGGGTTTATTATTATTTTTAACTGTGGTAAAATTCACATAATATGAAATTTATCATCTTAATCATTTAAGTAGCCAATAAGTAAATTCACTCAATCACTTGGTAAATTCACATGGCTGTGTTACCATCACCACTTTTCAACCACAGACCTCTCTTCCTCTTGCAAAACTGACACTCCGTGCACACTGAACAGTAACGTCCCACTTTCCCCTCCCTGCAGTCCCTGGCAACTACCATTCTTTTTGTCTCTATGATTTTGACTATTCTAAGTACTTATACAAGTGGAATTCTACCATAATTTTCCTTTTTTCACTGGCTTGTTTTACATAGCATGATGTTCTCAAGGTCTGACCATGTAATGGCATGTGTCAGAATTTCCTTCCTTTCTAAGGCTGAGTCATGTTCTGTTGCATGTGTGGACCACGTTTTGCTGATCCACTCACCCACCCATGGACATCTGGTCTACTTCCACCTTCTGGCTACTGTGAATAATGCTGCTATGAATATGGATGTACAAATATCTCTTCAAGTCCCTGCTTTCACTTCTTCGGGGTACATATCCAGAAGTCGAATTGCTAGGGCAGATGATAATTCTAGGTTTAACATTTTGAGGAATTGCTGTACTGTTTTCCATAGTGGCTACACTATTTTACATTCCCATAAGCAGAGCACATGGGTTACAGTTTGTCCACTTCTCGCCAAAAATTTTTAAAAGATTTTGTTTACTTTTTTTTAGAGAGAGGGGAAGGGAGGGAGAAAACAAGGGAAAGAAACATCAATGTGTGATTGCCTCTCACATTGCCTCCCCTGGGGATTCGCCTGCAATCCAGGCATGTGACCTGAGTGGGAATCGAACTGGCAACCCTTTGGTTTACAGCCCATGCTCAATCCACTGAGCTATACCAGCCAGGGCGACACTTATTTTTAATATTTTCTTTTTTATTGAATTTATTGAAGAGACATTGGTTAATAAAATTATATAGGTTTCAGGTGTATAATTCTATAACACATCATCTGCGTATTGTATTGTGTTTACTACCCTAAGATTACTACCCTAATCTCCTTCCATCACCATTTATCCCCCAAAACCTCTCCAACCTCCACCCACCAATTTTTTGATGGGGCTGTTCTAATAGGATGAAATGGTTATTTCACTGTGCTTTGGTTTGTGTTTCCCTAAAAAACTAGTATGTTGAGCATCTTCTCCTTGTGCTTATTGACTATATCTATATATTCTTTGGAGAAATGTCTATTCAAATCCCTTCCCTATTTTTTAACCTAGTGGTCTATTTTTGTCATTGTTGAGTTGCAGAAGATTTTTGTGTATTCTGATATTAACTTGTTATCAGATACATAATTTACAAACATTTTCTCTCATTCTGTAGGTTACTTTTCACTCTGTTGATTGTGCCCTTTGATGCCAAAAAAGTTTTTTACTTTGATGTGGTCCAATTTATCTTATTTTTTCTTTTTCACCTGTGCTTTGGGTGTCAAATCCAAGAAATCACTAATGGCATTAAATCCAATGCCATGAAACTTTACCCTTGTGTTTTCTTCCAATAGTTTTATAGCTTTTAGCTTTTATATGTAGATTTTTGTTCTATTTTGAGTTGTTTTTGTATATGGCGTAAGGTAGATATCCAACTTCATTCTTTTACATGTGAATATCCGGTGTACCCAGCACCAGTTGTTGAAATCCATTCTTTTTTTTAAAAAGATTTTATTTATTTATTATTTAGAGAGGCAAAGGGAGGGAGAAAGAGAAGGAGAGAAACATCAATGTGTGGCTGCCTCTTGCATGTCCTCTACTGGGGACCTGGCCCACAACCCAGGGATGTGCCATAGACTGACATTGAACTGTGACCCTTTGATTCATAGGCTGGCACTTAACCACTGAGCCACACCAGCCAGGGCTCCACTCTTTTTATTTGTAACACATAAAAATTTGACCAGATCATCTTTAAGTCCCATCTGGCACTTAATGTTTTATGAATCTAGTACATTCTACTTCCTAATTGCGTCTCCTGACTATTTTAGAATCTAAATCTGAATTTTTATTGTCGCTTTATTACAGCTGTCCCTAAATTGGAATTTATTTCATCTGTGCCGTTTGTGATTCTCCTCATGTCCCCTTCAACTACCTCTTTTGCAGACTGAAGTATCCATGTCCTGTTCAGCCTCTCCCAATAATCATGTTCTCGGGTGATTCTGTGATCACTTTCCTCACTTTTCTGGACTTCCTTGTGCTCATGATGCCCTCCCAGAAGTGCGATGAGAAGTATTATGACCGACATTTGGATAATATGCACCACAGTTGACATAAATATTAAATAATACAAAGATGGCTTTGTATTATTTTCAACTCTAGTCCTATGGGACAGGTATTTTAGTCAGACTGTTGACCATATCAGCACTTTGGGCCAGTCCTTTGAGGGAAAGACCTACAGTGAATCCCAGGTTCCATTTCTCGGCCAGGACACAGAGACACATTTTGAAATAAGAAAAATTTTGATTTGTAGCTTTGAAAAATACAAGTTTTGCTTCATATTTTCACTAAGGCCAAGTATATTATCAGTTTGTCCAAGTATTCTATGCAACCTTGAAAAGATATACTCTTTGCCTACTACTTAACAGATATTTATTATATGCATGCTATATGCAAGACAGGATTCTAGAAAATAAGGGTAACAAGGAATGACATAAGTGAATGAATACTCGTT